TGATGTGGATAACATATATTTATCGCCCCATCGTGTTTTGAAGCAAAATGGTACACATTTAAGAATGTCGAGGAAAATAAGGTTAAATAGGGGTGTAATATCCCATCAGTTTATCAGTATAAATTACATCTTTTAGTTCCGATATTAATTTTCGGAATTAATTATTTTCAGTCAGTTCAGTCGAAATTACCGGAAATTATTTTCGACGTACCGTTTACGTTCGAAATAATTTTGGTAATTAAGTGTTATGCTTAATTAATTAATTAAGCTTTAAATTATGATTAATTGTAATTAATCACCATTAGAATTATAAAAGCCGTACGGAAATGATCATATAAATGCCGTGCATTATTCAAAGCCATGGAGAAATTCTAAATCATGCAAAAGGCCGTATGTACTAAGTGGTATATGTTAGTGAATTTGGTCCAATTTTTCCTTCTTTAATAAGCAATAAAACGTGGCATCATGTTAAGCTTGTTAGTGCTTAGTCACCTAAGAGAGTTTAAGCTTATTCCAAGTGTCTTTAATCTCATTAAGCCACATAAACCTCATGCAACTCCCTCATCTCGGCGCTAGGACTATAAAAGGTGAATGTTTGGAAAAATTTTCCATCTTTTCCCTACATATAGTTAAATCTTGCGTATACATATAGCAAAGTTTCTATAAATTATACTTAAGTCATATAAATATATATATATGTATGCTAAGAGGAGAGTTAAGGGTGGTGGAGATTAAAGGAGTTCCTCACGGCAACCGCACCGCACGGTAGTCAGTACACACGTATGGTTGGTCGCATCGAGAGTATCACGCACAGCTAGTTATCGCACGCAATCGCACCGTCGACGACGCCACGCACGTGGAGAGCCACGCGAACACGGGAGTCCGAAGTGTTGCCGTTAGTTGGGCATAATCGGAGGTAAACTCCCTATCGATGTAGGCTGAGATTAATACGTTTATTAAGCTCGATTTTCCGTTTAGGCGTGCATGTGTGTCCTTTATTGTTAAGGCCGTGCGAGAAGCCGTGCCGATCATGTCATGTTTTAAGTTAAATTCTCCGAGCAATCCTCGCATATTTAGCCTTTTTATGCCATATCATGTTCAGATTAGTTTATGTGTTCGGAGGATTATTTTGATTTTGCGGAGTTTCGGCAAAAGGGCGTGGCCGTGCACGTAGCACGCGCCACGGGCCGTTCACGAGTAGCATACTTGCTAAGTAAATGTTCTTTCGAACCAACATGTTCATTTGTTCAGTATATCATGTTTAAGTTCAGTTAAGTGTGTTTTGCCGAGAAGAATTAATGTTCGGTCATAAAACGGCTCAACGCCGTCGGCGGCGCACGGTGCGTCCGCCGCGGCCAAAGTTCAGTCCTTAGAGCAAACTTCATGTTTTCAGTATAAATACGTTCATGTGTTAATGATATGCCAAT